GCATTTCTTAAATTTTTGATAAAACTTTAAAACCAAAGTGCCTAGCATTTTGGGGATGATGGGTAGATTTTTAACTCTAGGTTTTTATTAATAATAGATTGCTCTGAAAGACAAAAAAAAATAATAGATTGCTCTATTTTTGAATCAGTTATTTTTTCAAGGAAAAATATTTTTTGTAGTTTCTCATTTTTTATTTGTGGTTTCAAATTTATTGACACAAAATTGTTTATAGAATTGCCTTATGTTTATAGTCTTGACTGTACCCAGGTTATGTTTTCTTATTTATATGTAATATTATTTATTTGTTATTTCTCTCTTTTTTATCCTGTCAGTCTTGGCAGAAGTTTTATTAGTCTACTAGTGCCCTGGTGCACGGATTTGTGCACATTGAAAGGAAATTAATTAGAAGGTGGCTGGCGGGGCAGGACTGGGTGAGACAGGCCGGACACACCCTGGAGCCAACCTCCTGCAGTCCCTCCCGTGGCTGGCCACACCTGGGGCCACAGCTTGGAGGTCGTCTGCAGTGTGAGTGGGGTCCCTCCGGCAGGTGGGGTCCCTCGGCCTGGCCTGCAGGGATCTGGCTGAAACCAGCTCTCCTACATCCCCTTAGGGGTCCCAGATTGTGAGAGGGCAGTTCTTGGGTGACACCCCAAAATCGGGCTCCCTCCTCTCTGGTTCCAGGTGCGCCTGAGAACCACAACTGCGTTGAGCATCTGCCCCCTAGTGGTCATTGCACGTCATAGGTACCGGTTGGACCGTCACTTAGGCTTTTATATATATAGATTCCAAATACCAAATTTTTGTCGCCTTATGTGCCATGCCAGCTCAGCCTGGTTCAGTGACTCTGAGTGGGGGTGGTGAAAGGCTTCGAAAAGACAGACAAAGAATGAAAGCTGGGTCTCGGTGGGACGCTGCCCCTCTGATGGACAGCGCCCACACCCACAAGCCGTGTCTTTATTTTATAGCAGATGCCACGAGGCAAAGTAGGGGCGTGATCAAGATGTTTACAACATTCCCGTGGGTTTCAGTCCCACTCAACTACATGCACCTGAACTCTATCACTCAGGCACGTGGGGCCACGTGTTTGGACTACAGATTCAAGCTTACAGCTATAGCTGTTGGCTATAATTGTGCTGGGAAGGCTCTGCCCTCCAGCTGGGACTTGCACGTGGCAACGAGAGGACTGTGCCCTCTCCTCAGTCCAAGGCTTGAACCTGTCCAAAACACTGTAGCCGCGCCCCATAGGCCCCGATTTATAACATTTGCCATATTCATTTTTCTGTAAACACAACACACATAGTTTTTTTGGGGGGGGTTTGTTGTTTTTTTGGCTTAAACAACAGCAGTTTATTTTTTTCTAATTCTGAAGGCCAAGGCCTGAAGTCCAAGATCAAGGTGTCAATAGGTTTGGTTTATTCTGAGGCACAACGCACATAGTTTTAATTTAATCATTATATCTCTTTAGTCTCTTAATTTAGAACAGATGGCACCTTAATGTTTACTGTTCTTTATAAAATGGACTCTTGGCAAGTTCAGGCCAGTTATGTTATAAAATGCCCTGCGTTTGGGTTTGTGTGATTGCTTGTGTGTGCTCAGATTTGGGTCCATTTTAGCAAACGGCCGAGAGCTGATGTGTGCTTATTGCAGCTCCCGCGGGGTGTGGTTTCCTCAGTAGGAACCACTGTCATCACTAACGTCACGGGAAGTCAGGACACCAGCAGAGGCTCACGTTGGTACAAGACACGCCAAAGTCCCTGTGGAAGTTGTAAAGGCGCATTGCATGCCTTGCCTGGTGACACGGGAAAAGGCATTAGCAACGGCTGGCGCTGTCTGCTGAGTGCCCGTGCTGGCAGGCTTTTTTCAGCCGCCGCTATGATAGCCTGAGACGCTCAGGTACCCACTCGGTTTGTAACCCTTGCTGGTTCACAGTGAGGCGCCAAGTACCAGAAACTTTGTTAGCCATCCGGGTTGTTGATCATGGAACAGTGCTGGGTCTGTTCTCATTGATTCCCGGGGAAGCCCACGCTTCTCCTCGGGGTGTGCCCTGGGGTCCCGCTGCATGACCTTGGCAGGTGTGAGGAGGAGGAATCATTCCTGGCTCCATATTCAGCAGACATTTACAGGAGCTTCCAGCAGGGGTCGCAGTAAGCGCGCTCAAGCGGAACCTCAGCCACTGTCCCTGGGCTGCAGCACCCAAACCACCATCCCACTTACAGTCTAGTGGCAGCAGTCTGTCCGGCCAAAGGGTCCAGCAGCAGTTGTGCCTGGTCCACCGCTGGTAGCACAAGTTCCACATCCCCACCGGGCATTCACTCACCAAGGCCTTATCAGCCCCTCCCCTCAGGCACACAGACATGCTCAGGGACTCCGGGAGAGAGGTGGGAGCTGCCCTAGTCTTTCCCAGATCAGGACGGGGGGGGGGGGGCTCACACAGCAGTGTCCATGGCTGAGCGTATCTCACCACCGCCGCCACCACCAGAAACCCTGCTTCAGAAAATAGCATGGGGCTCAGAAGGCTGTGGGACACTAGAGTGGGCGGAGGGGCTGAGACCTCAGCACTCGAATCGCTGAAGGGTCTTCTCCCCAGGGACCGCCTCACCCCTCTATTTCAATAGTTCCCCTTCTAGAAACTGCTGAAGCTTTCGGACTCATCTCTTTTTGCTTCATCTCTGAACTTCCAAGTGCCTTCCTCTTTCATGTAGGTCCCATAATTCAGCATTTTACTCCCATAATTTAGTCGGCGATCAGGGTCTCTTATCAATCCTATATATTACCTGTGGCCACAGATAGCTTTGTGAGAGGAGGCCTCTGTAGTGAGGTCCTCCCCTTTTTTGGTCCCCCTTTCTGTCCACAGCTGACATTTTTGGGGGACCCCTCCTGTCTCTCGTCCCTACTCCCCAAGACAGTGCATATATTGGTACAAAGGGAAATTGGCTTCTCTAAGTGTCCCCTAGAGCAGGTGCACAGAGGACAGAAAGGCCAGGGGTCCGAGGAAGGGAAGGTAATGTGGTGTGTTAAGTCTAGAAGGTATGGGGCCTGGAATGCCAGGCTAAGGGATTTGGGGACCAGAATCCCCTGAGATGGCAGGAACTGGTGCCTCAAGAATCAGGGAAGGGGTGTGGTCCAATTGGCTGGGACCCAGCCTGCTAGAGTGGAGGCCCTGGGTGAGGCCAACTCCATCTTCCTAGGGTGTTCGAGTCTGAGAAATGGCCAAGGGGGAGCCACTTTGAGTCACACCACAGCCCTGTGAGCGAGGTCAGCCACCCCATCCTATACCAAGGCAAAGACGTTCAGGCCAGCAGCATATGGGAGTTTATCACCAACAGACACAAGGGACTTCTGGAAGATGAACCTCAGAAAGAATGAAAATGACCCCAGAGGAGAGATCTGAAAACCAAGAAGGAACGAGGAGCAAGTTCATTAATGATGATGCTAATTGCCCTGGCTGGTTTGGCTCAGTGGATAGAGCGTCGGCCTGCGGACTGAAGGGTCCCAGGTTCGATTCTGGTCAAGGGCATGTACCTTGGTTGCGGGCACATCCCCAGTTGGGGGTGTGTCGGAGGCAGCTGATTGATGTTTCTCTCTCATCGATGTTTCTAACTCTCTATCCCTCTCCCTTCCTCTCTGTAAGAAAATCAATAAAATATATTTTTATAAAAAAAATGATGATGCTAATTTGGGGGTGGTCCTTAAAGTCAAGATATGAATATCCACCATTTATCCCGTCTACTGTTGATGGACATTTGGGCTGTTTCCCGTTTGGACAGTTATAAATAGTGCTGTTCTGAACATTCCTGTTTGTGTCTTTGGCTGAACATATGTACATTTTTCTGTTGCTAAGCCAACAGTTTTTAGCTCTCCTGAAACCAAGTTTTATAATGGAAATTTTAAAACACTCATAATGGGATAATGAACCCCTGTACCCATTACCATCTTCAATAACTACCAACATCTTGCTAGTCCCTTCTCCCCATATTTCTTGATATTTTTTACTATTGGAGTAACTGAAAGTAAATCCCAGATCTCATCACACCCTTCTATTTGTGTATATATGGTAATACACATATATATGTATTTACTGAAGTAATGAATGTTCCCAACTATGCTATACACCAGCCCCGGAAGGCTGAGATCACGCCCCCATTTTGCAGATAAGAACAAGACTCCATGCTAAGTTGCTGCCCGAGGTCAGCCAGAGTAAATGGAAAAGCACCCAGCTGGCTTGCCCCCAGGCCCTGGCAGAGTTCACTGACCCTCATTCACACCAACCTCCTTGTAGGCATTGCTGCCCCAGTTCCCAAGGGTCCGGGAAATACTGCTGGTGGGACCCCACCACTGAGCAGCAGAGCTGAGTGCACCCCCTCCCTGGGGGCTCAGACCTCAAGGGATTCAGGGGTCCCTGACCCTCCTACCTCCTCGGTGCTGAGCTGACTGGTTGCTGCCTCCCTGCCCCGTCAGGTGGGAGGCCGTCGGGGAGTTAGCGGCATCAGGGCAGGGAGGGCAAGCGCCTGTCTGAGCGTCAGCAGCCACAGGACAGAAGAGGAAGCAGGCGGATGGTACCAACCAGGAGGCCTGTCTCTGAAAGACCTTCCAGTTCCCGGTTCACCATTTACTGTCTACCCAGTCACCAGGGTCAGAACTGAGAGGAATTCTGGGCCAAACCTGGTCCGTTCAGTTTGGTCCATTGTTGCTGTAGACATTTCTGGCTCCGACGAGGGGGACAGCCTCTTAACAGGCCATTTCCTGCAGCAGATAAAGCGTGAGTTTTGACGCAAGCTTAGCCAGGCCAGAGCCACAGTGCCAGGGACACTGGGCTGCCTGTCAACACCAGATGGGCCTCGGGCTTTGGGACCGAGATCCCTCAAATCCTATACCCAGTCTAGACACCCCATGGACACCTCCCTGAGGGACCTGAGGAAGCAGCCAAAATTACATCAGATCCAGACCTCAAAACAGAAGAGAGTGACTGCTGGGTGCCATCAAACACTCGTCAAAAGCAATTGGTTAAGGCAACTGTATTTCGTTCTTTGCTTACATTTTCCCACTTCAATTACTTATAAAAATTCATTTTGCTCCTATGTATTTTTTCATTAAAAAAAATCTGAAGCATCTGGAATGTATTTGGGTATCGGTGGAGGCAGGACGCAGCTTCTGTGCAACTCCCATGGGAGCCACTTGTCATCCTCCCCTTCCAGGGCTCTGGGGTGTCCACAGAGCGTGCTCCAGCCTCCCTCAGAGTTCACTCCAGGGCCGTCTTCCCTGCTGCAGCTGCTCCCGGGCAAGTCTGGGAGGCGCTCTAAGGAACGCTGCCCTGAGCACTCACTCTTCTCCACAGGCCAAGGGGGTCAAGGACCATGGGGTGGCCCCTCCACCCTGCACACAGCCCAGTCCCTGCCCTGCCAGGCTGGGCAGTCCTGGGCCCTGGAGGGCAGTGACTCGTGTAGCACTGGAAGCCAGGGCAGACCAGGAGCCCGAGTCTCTAAACATCTTCCATTTCTTACCGGAAAGCCAGCCTCGCAGAGGATAAGGCCTGACCGACAATGCGTCGGGAGCTGTGCTACCTCAGCAGGGGCAGTGGGGGGAGGGGTTGAGAAGATAAACGACTGGCTTCCCGGGTGGCTGGTGCCTCGGGCAGGAGTGGAGGACCGTCTCAGAGGTCCAGGCTAGTTTTCTCTGTCCATCGTGTTTAGTTATTTGTGTCATCAGAGACCAGGTCTCACCCAGTAGAGGCCAGACTCTAAGCCAACTCAGAGGGGTCTTGCTCATTTCTGATTTCCAGGTGAATGAATGAATGAGCGCATTTAATTTTCACAGGACATCCTGTACAAATGGCAGAACGAAGGCTCAGAGAGGTTCAGTGACTTGCCTGAGGCCACATAGCTGACCACTGAGCCTGCCAGCACCGCCTGCCTCTCCTCTGAGGTCTAACCCTGGAATCTGCACCATGACGAGGGAGGAAAAAATAAGGAGGGAACTTTATTTAATATTAAAGTTGGGAGGGGACCGGAGGGGAGGACGGCTTCACTTGGTGATGGTGTTCCTGTAGAGAGAAGAAGGGCGTGAGGCTGGAGTGCGGGCCAGGCCCTCCACCCGCCCATCCCATGGCCCCGGCCCACTCACGCGTTCATGCTCTTGCCGCTGCCGCTGAGCACGATGTACGGTGTCTTCTGGGCCTTTTGCTTTTCCTGGAGCAAAGCCACAGTGCCCAGGGGTGTGTCGCTGGAGCTCATCTTCTTCAGGAGCTGTGGGGTCATGGCCAGTCAGCACTAGGAGGGAGCACCGCAGCCCACCAGCCACCCCAGAACCAGCAGATGTAAAGCCACCCCAAGTCATGCCATGGGCCACCCACCGCCTCCTCGTCCAGCTTCTTCATCCTCCGCTCTGTCTTCATCTTGCCCGAGCCTTTCCCGTGGAAGCGGTGGGACAGCTGTCGGAAAGCCTGGGGACACGGCAGGAACCAGTTAGAGCCGCCTGTGTCCCTCAGGGCGAAGGGGGGGTGGCCCACCTGAGCCGGGGTGGTGGGCCGGGGATGAGAAGGGGAAACGGGCTCAGGAGAAGGATGTGCTGTGCTGGGGGCTCAGGATCTCCAGTGACACCTGCTGGGCCGAGGCCAGGCCAGGACACAGGATGGAGGGAGGCAGCTCGCAAACCCGGGGAGTGTGTGAGCAGAGGGCTGGGGGTGAGGATGGGACACGGAGGAGGCAGGAGAGTCAGGCAAGGGCTGCCGTCAGGAGCGGGTGTGAGAACAGGGGCAGTCCAGGGCCTGGATATGCCACCAGAATGGTGGCCCTGAGGGCACATCAAGCCACTGAGGGGGCAGGTGAGCAAAGGAACCAAGGCACCTGTCCCCCCCCCACCTCCCGCCGGGCCTGTGAGGGGGACTGCAATGCCCATCAGAGAGAGAAACAAAGGCAGAGGTTCGGACAGTTCTCCAGGGCCCCAGCCAGTGGTCCACTGAGCCCAGACCCCGTGGTACCCCGAGGGCCCCGTGCCAGAGGCCTCTCACCTCCTTGGGTGTGAGTTTTCGGCCCGTCTCATCCACATACTCGATCTTAACATCAGGCTTATAGCCGTCCTTCTCCTTGAAGTCCTGGGTGAAGCCCCGGTACTCCTCCCGCCGGCTATACTTGTCATCGATGGCCCTGGCGAGAGACAGAGGGGCCTCAGGGCCAGCCACTGCCCACCCTGCCTGGGTGCCCACCCGGCCTGGGTTCCGGCAGTCCTGAGCTGGCGCCAGCCCCTGGCCTTCTGCCCACCCTTGCTGTGCTCACATCTTGTCCTCAATGCAGTACACCGCTGACGGCAGGGACTTGTTGGGCGCCTTCACCCGGGCCACCTTCTGCACTGTCGTCTCCAGCAGTCCTGGGGAGAAGGGTGGTGAGACTCCAGGATGTCCACCCCACAACAGGGGCCCAGCCCCAGGGCAGGCCTGATGTCCCCAACTGCACAGACGGCGCTGTGGAACTCTCACAGCTGTGCTGTGGGAGTAAAGGCATCAGGCCTGTTTGCAGACAAAGGAAAGAGACTCAGAGAAATCAGGCCCTTGTCAAAGGCCACTAAGTAAATGGCACAGCTGGGACCCTAATGCCAGGGGCTCTGTGCCATAGCCTGGACTGCTTCAAGTCCCCCATTCTTCCTCGGGAGACACTGAGCCTTGAGGAGTAAGTCTGTAAAAAATCAATAAAATATATTTTTTTAAAAAAAAAGGGGTGATGTAGCCCTAGCTGGTATGGCTCAGTGGAGAGAGCATCAGCCCAGGATAGAGGGTCCCAGGTTTGATTCTGGTCAAGGACATGTACCTCGATTGCAGGCTCAACCTCCGGCCCTGGTTAGGGCGCATGCAGGAGACAACCAATCAATGTGTCTCTCTCACATCGATGTTTCTCTCCCTTCCTCCCTTCCACTCTCTCTAAAACAATGGAAAAATATCCTCGGGTGAGGATTAACAAAACAATAAAAATAGATGGGGTGATGTAGAGCAGGCCAGACACTCCAACAACTGCCCCACAACAGGTGCAAAAGGAGTGGCTCACAGCACTGAGAACAAGAGAGACACCAGAGGAGACCAGGGGAGCCACGCAGGCACCCGGCTGTCACAGCACCCAGGCCCCGGCAGGGCTCATGGTGCCCGGAGCCCTTACCTTTGTTCTGACACAGGAGCAGCGCGGCTGCCAGCCCTCTATTCACGATGGGCTCCTCGTCCAGGATGGTGGTGGAGGAGGCAGAGAACTGGGGGTGGCACAGGGTGGTGAGTGGGCCACATGACACTTCTCACCCCTCACCCAAAGTCACCCCCACCACACCCTGTGAGATTTATGGACCCCATCTATGGGGGAGGAGACGAAGGCTCTGAGACACTGAGCAACTAGCCCTGGATCTCAGAACTGGGCTGGAGCCCAGGCGGTCTGCCTCCAGCCCCAGCCCCCAACCCCACAGGGCTGTTCCCTGCCCGTCCATCCTCCCAGCCCCCAGCTTGCTCCTCCCTCAACTCACATCCTGATGCTGCTTCTCCTCATCCAGGTTGACTGTGCTCCAGCCAATGTTCTCCTCCCCGTCAGACTCGGAGCCGCCGTTGGCCGAGCGCTCCTCGTCCCGTTCGAAGTCCTGGAGGACAGAAGACCAGCGTCAGCCCAGACAGCCCATCCAGACACAGCTCATCACCGAGGACCACTGGGCCCGACACTGCTGCCCACACCTGGCCGCCAGCCAAGAGCAGAGCAGGTCAGTGAGGGGAGCTGCCTGCAGACTCACCATGAGCTCCTCCTGCTCCTCCCGGTTGCCGGCCAGCCCGTAGGTGGGGATCTCCCCCAAGGTGCGGCAGAACTCCGACGTGGCGTTGAACACGATGGTCCCCTTCCGCTCCGGATCCTCATCCTCCTCCAAGCCCCGCTGGCGGGACTCCAGCTTCTTCACAATCTCCACCACCTAGAGGAGGGAGCAGCTGTGGGCAAACCCAGAAGTTCCTGGGGCGGTGCCATTGAGACCCAGGAGCCCAAGATCCTCCCTGGTGGTAGCAAGACAAGCCATTCCTACTGCCTGCAGCAACCTGTGATGGTCTCCATGTCCTCCCTGACCCCTACCGCTCTCCACCTGCACCTGCATCAATCTCACTCTGCTCCAAAACCATCAATGGCTCCCTACTGCCCTGTGAATCAATATCCAAAAGCCTACATGGCCCTGGTGACCAAACCCTGCTCCTACCTCAGGCCACCCTCCTACCTGGCACGGCACCGAGGCCCCTCAAAACTCCGCCCCTGACGTTATCCCCCGACTGCACCCACTGTCCTCTCTATTGTGTCACTGCCATCAGCACACAAGGATTATCTGGGATCTCCCCTCCTTGAAAACATCCTCAACCCCCCAGCCCCACTGCTCTGCCCAACAGCAACCTCCTCAGCGAAGTTTCTAGAAACCACATCTACTTCTGCACCCCTTCCCTTCCATTTTATTACCTTTCTTTTTTATGTTCAGAGTGCGTTTATTAAAGCTAGGGACAGTGAAGCAAAGGGCTTAGGATAAAAGAAGCAATAGGAGAGAGCCTAGGCCATGTTCTGCTTCGGCTCTCTAGAAACATATAGGAAAGTGAGCCACAGTGAGGGCGCATGCAGGGGGCAACCAATCAATGCGTCTCTCTCATGTTGATGTTTCGCTGAATACCCAGCCCAAGATACCAACCCTCCAAGTATTCTCTCGTGTCACCTTGTTCTGTCTGTCTGCTCTAATCACTATCAGAAATTACTGTTTGTTCACGTGTTTGCTGATGTCTCTCCCCCAACCCCCAATTAGAAAGTCAGAACCATGAGCACAGAGCCCCTTGGCTGCCTGTTCACCAGTGCCCTCCAACCACTAGGGTGATGCCTAACTCACAGTGGGCATGCAACATGTATTCACAGAAGACAGGGAAGGGTCTGACCCTAAAACATCATACAGTGAAAACACTACAGAAATCTAACAATCTGCAAATAATATGTTATTAAACAAAAAAGAAAATCAAGATTGGAATTCAGGCCCAGACAGCGTGGCTCAGTGGTTGAGCATCAACCTATGAACCAGGAGGTCACGGTTCGATTCCCGGTCGGGACACATGCCTGGGTTGCATGCTCAATCCCCAGTGTGGGGTGTGCAGGAGGCAACAGTGTTTCTCTCTCTCTCTCCCTCTTCCTTCCTCTCTGAAATCAATACAGAATAAAGACTGGAATTCAGGTGCAGCCTACAAGGGCACAGGTGCCTGTGCTCCTAAGAACCGGCCATCACAGGCCACCTGTCATTCTGTCCTGCTGAGGCCCACAGCCTCCTGTGCCCGCACACAGCCTGAGGGCCCCTTACCTTCTCGCCGCTGTCCCGCAGCTGGTGCAGCTGCTGCAGCTGCCGTAACCGGCGGCCCTTCTCCAGCTGCTTCTGCAGCTCCAGTTCAGCCTCATCCTCCTCCAGCAGCTCTGGGGACCCAGGTGGTGGCCCGCCCTCCTCTGGACAGAGGAAATGCCCGTTAGATCCTCCTCCTGGACCCTCGGCCTTTTCCCTGCCCCTCCCCCCACCCTCAGCAAGCTGGGGTCCCCTCACCCTCATCACTGATATCCATGTTTTCCACTCGAGTGTCATCTGACGGTGGGGGGTTGAGACACGGCTCCTT